ATGCTGGGGGTAACCCTGCGATGGACTAGCATCCCATCCAAGGGGGAGTAGAAATACTCCTAGTCGCTTCATGCTACGGAAACCGGGATAACCTCCGGCGTGGTGGGCCACTTGGCTCATATGCAGACTTTACTACCCTTTATTACAAATGGAATGTAAACCCTTGCTTGATCAGGTCCACGCTTAGGTCTGAAGTTATCAATAGCTTATCTCAGACAAAAGACGAACGATTCCAAATTACCTGTCCAGGAAGCCCATTCGTCTGAATTAACCCGTTAACATTAAACGAGTCGCTGATTTGAAGAAAAATTCGTCCACCACCGCGTCCGCCACCTGTGTTTCCACTGCCATTCCCACCGCCACTTCCCCACCCTCCTGGTGTGAAAATGTCACCATAGATCAGGCTCTGCGCCAGTGTCTGTGTCCCACGTCCCCCTCGACCTCCGTGACTCGCCCCAGCGCCTCCGCTGTCTTTTTGAGCTCCGGCTCCAGCCCCCATTCCTCCGAGAGCACCGCCACCATCCACTGAAATGTGCCCCGATGATCCGACATTAAGGTTGTCGGTGACAAGGTACAGCGAACCAAGTTTAAAAAAACCATCCACTTGAACTGTAGTCACGTGGAATGTGGAATTGATTGCGCCGTCAACAACTGTGGAAGGCTGGGCTCGATAGTGAATGCTGACTTCACCTGTTGGTTCTATGACAAACGAATCACCAGTTAAGGGAGCACTGGGTCCGACCGCTGATGCAGTCTCCATTAATCCGCTGACGCGTGTCCGATTGATGTTCAGCGGCTCAGAAGTCTCGAAGTAAAATCTCCCGTTAGTGTCGTTCACTGTTAGATCATCCCATAATGTGCCTATTGACAAGTTCCCGACACGCAGAGTTCCTGACAGAAACACTTCATGGCAAGGAATCGTTGTAAGATCCACGGATTCGATGAGTACCACACCGTAAAATCCAACGTCACATTGAAGAATTCTCTCTTGGGACAAGCCTGCCATTTTCACAGCACTCAACGATTTTACATCACCATTGAGATGAAACCTGTTCAGGTGAAATTCACCTACAGGGTCAAAGTGAAACATGCCACCTTGTTCTACAGTCAGTTCTTTCCATCCCGGTTCGATCTTAAGCTTTTTCGGCAGCCACGTCCCATCGACTACAACGATATCTGCATGAACTAGTGAAGTTCCGTTCAGGGAATGTCTGCCGTGGGAGCCGAATTCCTGCGAGTTGTTTTGCACAAAAGCCAAAGAATTCGACGTAAGAGGCAAATCAAACTGTACGCTGCCATACTCGTCAACTTCGATTGTTCTAGTCACGGCTGGATCTCTTCCTCTGAAGAACACAGCTCCTTCGACGTGAAAATTTCCGTTGGAGTAAAACGTATCAAGTCTCGCATCCCCGTAAGGAAAGAAACTCAAATCACCGTATCTTTCAATCCTTAGGGTTTTCCACCCGTCTAACAGGGAAAGCACCCCTGGGTCAAACATCCCGCTTATCTTGACGTCGTTCATGGAAACGTAAGATACAGAACTGTTGCCTTCAATTTTCAGCGCGGAATTGAGCCCCATGGTCATCTGATCACCCGTAAGATTACACGGGCATTTGATGTCCATCTTTGAACTATCGCTCAGTATGAATCTAGATCCTGATGTAGAAACCGACCATCGACAGGACTCTGGAGATTGTGTATCATAGTTCAACAACTGCAAATGACCCATCGATTCGATGATGAGTTCTCCAAACTTCAGCTCATTGGGACCAGAACCCGGATGCATTGTGACCACGCCCTGTTCCTTTCCTATGTAGACGGTGGGGTCTCCCTTGATGGTAAGCACGCCGTATATATCAACAGAGCGCTCCAAGGAAACATTTGGTTTTATATCGGACAAGAGGAGCTCTGCACCGTGGAATATTTGCGCGCAAGGCGACAGAAGACTGTTTATTTGAAGTTGAACGGAAGATAGAAGATACAAGTGGCCAGTATTGTCATCCGTTATGCTGTCGACGGTTAGGTTCTTAGCTGAGCCAGCGATGACTAGCTGAGCTCCTCTTGAAAATTCAATTTGCTCCAGTTTGTGGTCAGCGGTGATTGTGATCCACGCCACAGCGCCTGTCACAAAAAAAATCACTTGTTTAAGTAAGTCAGTAATGCGCGTATGTCATTACTCCTAAAGGTAATCGTATGAATGCGAGTACAATCAAGGATCTCCACTCCGAGTGATGTTTGAAAATTTTGTCAAAATTGCACAAGTCTTTAGGCGAGTGTAAGTTGAAAGAATTGTCAAATGTCACGAGTAATACGATGATTAATATGACCATTACTCCAAGGGATTATGGACAAAAGTGAATTCAAAGTTATGACTAAGGAAATAACAAAAGCGTCACGTTAATTTGAACTGCAAAGGAAATTTAAAATTAATGATGGATTGGCCTGTTCTCAACCAATCATAACCAAGTAACTCTCTTAGTCATATAATAAGACCAATTCCTTTTCTACCGTTACTCCCCGGCGCAGGGGATTAGCGGGAGAGTGGCAAGGGGCCTGCGGCATGGTGACAGCCGATTCTCACAGTGTTTTCGTTGTATGTAAACTAGTAGGGCGGTGGCATTTTGTTACATTTCTTTAAAAAGGTGGGTGTCCTGGGCCCTTCTCGTGCCTCACTGACCCGCTAATCTACCATCTCGGTTCAGCCACAAAAGCCAGTACAGACAAGTTACCTGTTTGATGGAACACGTTAACATCTGATGAACTAGTAAGCTGTAATAGGAATAGAAAAAAATTGTGAGCGTAATTAACAAGAAATCCAGACCAAGGAACCTTAATTTTAGAAAACAAAAAATAAGTAAGTAAACAGTGACTGATTCTATAATGGCTTTACCGTCTAAAACAAAATTACCTTGTCTTAAGAGGATAAATTCAATCACACCAAGATGGGATAGAAATTTGTAATGAAATTATTTTTTTCTGTAGCCAGAAAAACCAGTAAAACTGGAAAACAAACCTCGGAGAAAGAAGAAAAACCAAGAACTAGCATTTGTAATTAAAATTTCAAGTCACGTTTGGGTGGAACGGTCCAGATAAACCCGTGAGCGCGCGAGAAAAAGCTTTCTCAAGCCGGGTCGCTACTCTCAGAATTCTGCAGTAACTGTGCAGAGAAAGATAAGGGAGAGTCGAGAGAGTAGTTTGCGCGTATCTTGCATTCTAAGAGTTCGAGAGTGTGAAACAAGCTGTTCAACAACAAACGTACACCATGCCGAACATGGCGGGTCTGTAAATAGACCCTAGCGTCAAATTGGCGGATTCAGAGCTCAATCGTTGTGCGTTAACCTTACGTTAGGCGTTTGGTGTTTGGCGCTTGGCGCTTGGCGCTTGGCGCTTGGCG